TGTGTGTGTGTGTGTGTGTGTGTGTGTGTGTGTGTGTGTGTGTGTGTGTGTGTGTGTGTGTGTACATCTGTTAATATTGCTGTACACATCCCTCCACGTGGCCATTCTTTTTGAACACCCGTCTCTCCTCCTGTATATCCCACTGACATGTCTTTTCTCCTCTCTCACCCATCCACCACCTCAGGTGCTGTCACCTGACACGTTGGACTGTCAATACGCGCACGTGCCACAGTACTTGACACTTGTGCGCATCACAGTGACGTCGTTGCAGTGGGCCACTGTGGGCGACAGCTCAGCCCAAACGACCGAACTGATTGAGGTGGACCCGTACAACTTCATTGGTACGGTATGGGTGTGCGTAGTGTAGGTGAGTATAGTGTGGGCGTGCATAGTATGGGGACTATCCGTTTGACAAATGTCCTGATAGAGGTGGGTCCGTAAAACTTCGTTGGTATAGTGTGGGTGTGCATCGTGATGTTCTATTTCTACCAGTTCTACTTATCTGTTCTATTTTTACCTGTTCTATTTTTAGCGATCCTTTGACGACCTTAAACAACTACACTCGTACACCCTTGCTCTATTTTTAGCTATCCTTTTACACACCTATACTTGCACTCACTTGTTCTATTTTTAGCTATCCTTTGACCCACCTACACTTGCACTCACTTGTTCTATTATTAGCTATCAATGACACCATCATCGGGCTCGAGGTAGTGACCGCCAGTGTGGAAATGAGTCGACCCGCATGGGTTGAAGTTCAGTCCCTCATGGACTATGAAATGCCCGACTACGAGAAACTCAACGGAACACTCCGCATACAGTGCGTGTGGACAATTAACCACGAACAGACCCGATCCTCGGCTAAGTTCATATCCCAGAGGGAGATCCAGGTAGGCCAAAACAGTCTTATTCGGCAGAGTACGCACCATATGTCGCAATTTTGCCTATTAAGCTGGTTAACTCGGTTCACTCGCCATATAATCACAATAGACGACCAATAGAGTATGTGCCACTGTGTCCCTCACTCTGTCCAAAGGTAAACCTAAACCTAAACCCTAAAACCCTCAAACAAACTCCTACGCTATTTCTTTCCACACACGTCTCTCGATACCTAGGCATGTACTGAATCCTATAACACTAAAACTCTAAACCCTAAACCACACGAATATACTTTCCTACTTAGACTACCACCTTCTTACTTGTCTATACCTACCTAAATCCTAAACCCTATATGCACGGCACTATGCACGGCACAGTGTGAGGCTGACCAGACTATTGCCACCGAAGGCTCAGTTGATTTGAGTGTGTGGTTTAACCCCACCACAGAAGCACACGTGGGCAGTGTCAACTACACACAGCCAATGGGATCGCTCTATTCTGTTGACGTCACTCCCCGGGCAGTTTTATTGGATGAGCCGATGACGTTTGTGGTGATGACAGACAGCGAAGTGACTGTGGCACAGAGAAAGAGCATGAGGGTATGCGAGCATGCTTGTTGTACGCACATATCAGGGTGGTACAGAGTGTTCTTATAGTACACACTTGTATATAGATATATTGTATATATTAAGCGCATACACTTCTATATAGATATATTGTATATATAAGTGCAAACACTTCTATATAGATATATTGTATTTATAAGTGCACACACTTCTATATAGATATATTGACCCAGCTATTCCATCTGCCTAGGCTTGCACCTGCACCTAAGTCTTAGGTGAAGTACGAGTCCACATACGCGACTCATATTTAGTATAAACTGAACTGAAATGATTTGTTCGTATATCAAACTTATTTGTCTTTCAATTGCGCAGTGTGAGCTCGACGGAGTCCTTGCGGAGATTGAGTTTTTGAACACTACCGTGTCCGGCGAGGATGGCACAGATCCGGCCCTAAATTCTACACTCAGGTGCACTTTCCAAGCCACTCCCGATGCACTGCGAAAGAAGTTCAGACTTGTCAGCTCGGCTGATGAGACGGCCAGGTATATACATGCACCAGTCAATGGTCTGTTCTGTTAGGTTTTTGAGGTTTTTGGGTTTCAAGGTTTTGCGTTTACCCAGAACAAGAATAGGTGGCATTGTGAGGTGTCGATTAAGTACATAGTCAAACGTATTACGACAGTGGCACTTCATAAACACATGTGAGTCACTGGTGCAACACACGCAGTGATACGGCTCAGACAAATGTAACCAACCCAGATCTACTACACACACGCTGTTGTTGAATCGTAGCTTTCTCATACCTTAGGCCCCTTTGAACACCCCCTCCCGCCACTTTCATATTGACACTAAAACAGATACGTCAGCAACGGTGTTCTGATTGAGGGGTACGTATTGCCGCAGATCATCTCACCCACCAACACAGACAAGCCAATGAAGGTGCCCATTGGCAGCCAAGGGTTTATAGACATCATCGCCCACCCAGCACACACCTTTCTCGCCGATCAGATCCTGGGAGACGCCGCCCCAATGCCCAAGTGCGAGTATACCTACACTGATAGCAAGGTACGATAGAGTATATATATATATATATATATATATATGTGTGTGTGTGTGTGTGTGTGTGTGTGTGTGTGTGTGTGTGTGTGTAGTAGTATATATATATATATACTACTATTATTATTATATACTAATAATACTCTCTGTGTCGTCTTACTTCCTACGTCTACGTAGGTAGGTAAGTAAGTA